GGCATAAATATTATAGAAGCAAAGACATAACTGTTTCTCTCACTCAGGATAAACAGGGCTGGGAGTTTGTTCTGGAGAGGACCCTGAGGTCCCCTAACTGTGGGCTACAACCTCCCTGGGGCAGGGCAGGCATGGCAGAAGGGGACCCTCATATGCAGGGGAACCTGAGCCCTGACTCAGGGCTGTCCACAGCACCGGAGCCTCTGTGAGGTGTGATGGTACAAGAAAGGGTGGCTAGCTAGTGACCTGCCTTCTTGGCCTAATAATTTACAATAACCATCAAGTTTTGGGGGAAAAAACAGTATCAAGTGGGGTTCTGGAGCGCTGGCAAGCAGAGCCTGCTTTTTCTCAGCAAACATGCCTCCAAGTAGTGAGGGAGGTAGCATGTGTCATAGAGGGCTATTCTGTTAGAAGCATGGAAAGGAGAATGGTGCCCAGCCCCAGGCGGCCTTATGGAGTTCAAAGCCCCGTGTGGGGGAAGGCAAAGTGAAAACAAGTGAGCAAGGACATAAGGGCAAGTGTTATAAATTGTTGTAACACTTGTAACGTGGGAAAAGGGCAATGAGAGAGAGGGTAAAGCTGGAACCCTGCCTTGTGCAAGGTGGTCGGGAAGGAGGTCTGAGAAGTCATTTACTCAGAGACCCAAGGGGGGGGGGCATGGCAAGCTGGGGAGAGGGAAGGGATACTGAAAAAGGTCCAGAGCTTGGAGTGCTCTGAGGACAGAGAGAAGTTCTGCAGTGGGTTGAAACGGTGGCCCCTTCCCCTCCAAGATAAGCCCACCTAGAACCTTCGAAAGTGACCTTAATTGGAAAAAGGGTCTTGGTAGACCCTTTTGAGGATTGAGGATCTCTTACGTAGGAGAGATGATCATTCTGACTTGGGGTGGGTCTCAAATCCAGTGACAGGTGTCATGAGAAGAGGAGAGAAGACCATGTGAAGACAGAGGCAAGTCTACAAAGGCAAAGCATGCCAGAGAGTGCCTGAAGCCACCAGAAGTTCAGGGACAGGCATGGGTGGGATGAATCCTCCTTCAGGTTTGAGAAAGAATCAATCCTGCCAACACCTTGATTTCAGACTTCTGGTTTCTACAATGGAGAGAGGATAAATTGCTGTTTTAAGACACCAAGTTGTGGTACTTTATGATGGCAGCCCCAGGAAATGAATGCAGATACCATGGTTAAGAGTATGGACTTCATTCTAAGTGCAGCAGAGACTGGTGGAAAGGGCTGTAGAAGGAAGAGAGAGAACTGGATTTATGCTTAAGTGGATCTCTGGTTCTGTGTGGAGAATCAATCTGGGGGGCAGGGAGTATGCGGGAAGCAGGCAGGCCAGTACAAAAGGTCTGAGAGAACAACGGAGCCTCACCACTGGGCTCTACACCAGTGGACCGTGGGCAAGTTACCTAACCTCTCCACAACTCAGTTTCTAGGGCGAAGAAAGAGCACCCGTCCTGTAGGGCAGCATTCATTGATTTACTACATGTAAATGCCGAGAAGGGAACTGGCATGGTGCGTTTGCCATTCTTATCATGAGAGGTTGAGGAAGAGGAGGAGAGGGGACAAGGGGACCATTCATGGACTCAGAGGCTTTGGCCTGGAGCCATGTGATGGACGATGGTGCTGTTAATGGAGAGCAGAGATGTGCACTGGGAGGAGAGATCACAGTCTGGGAAGAGTCAGGTTTGAGGCATCCAGGAGAAGACTGAGGGAAGTTGGCAGGACTGTGTCCATCGAGACTGGGCAAGGACTTTATCTGTTTTTGCTTGTCACTATAAGCCTAGACCTAGCAGAGATCCTGGCCCAGAATCAGAGCCCTGTCAAGGTGTACTGAAGGTACCATGTTGGGAAGGCATGACTGAAATGGGGCACAGGAGCCAAGAGACATGAGAACACCATCATTCTCTTTCTCATCCTTCTACTATTGCCTGGCCCATGGGATGTGGCTGGATGACCGAGATCAGACATAAAGACTTCTCTCCAGGGATGTGTCAGGGCCCATAGCCATCTGATGAGCTGGGACCCACATATCCCTCAGTGGCCTGTTTGCAGAGGCCTGGCAAATTCTGCCATTCCTCAATGATGAGGCATAGGAAGAGGTGCAAAGAGAGATAAAACTCATGACCACCACTGGGTGGGGTGGGGGGGCACCTGATAAAAGGAATGGAAGATTTTTATAGCAACTTTGGGGTTTCTGGAATAGCCTCTGTCTTGAGGCCAATGGGCCTGGAGGGATGGAGTAAGGACCCAGCCCATGAAATCCCACAGCAGGCCAGGCTGGTGGGGGAGGGCATGTTAGTTTGGCTTTCTGAAGCAGGGGTTCTTTAAGACTGGCGAGGGCAGAAAACAGCTGCGATCGGAACAACGGGTCCAGCCAAAGTATGGGGGAGGCCCTAGCCAAGGTCATGCTAAGCAGACAGAGTCAGGCCCTTAGGTGTGGCTAATGTTTCTGCTCAGCGCTGATGACATCTTATATTCTTGTAAGGGTTGTCCTCACCTCAATACAATCCAATTGTCCACTGTCTCGGGGCCACGGGATCCTTCTAGGCATTTAACAGTTCTGCTATGCCCCTCCTATGACATTCCTGGGTGACGTCTGATACGGAATGATGTGCTGAAGGAGACTGATCCTCTGCCAGGGTATAAGAGCTCTGGATGCAAACATGAAGCACCGGGATGGCTACAACTCTTGCAAATCGTGCCCTGCTCTGAACAAAGCCTTTCCACATAAATCACCCTCCTCTGAGCCTCACATGTGCTGGGAGTTCGGTGACAGGGCACATAGTCTCATCACTGTTCTCTGTTCATGTAAGATGGAGAGGGCCACGTCCTCAATACAGACCATGTCCTTTATAGGCATTCCCATGAATTATCCCAACTTCAGACAGAGACAACACACGTAGTAGCCATGGGCTGCTGTAAGGAGCGGGCACTGAAGCCTTCTCTGTTTCTGCCTCAAGACCAGCTCTTCTCGTGATGCCCTGCCAGCTTCCTCTAATGGCGGAACTGAGAAGGGGCATCCTTGAGGTCACATGACCAACAAACAAGCCAGGCCCAAATCTCAGCATCCTGATTCCAAACCCAGAGCTCTCTTCTTCTTAAATTTTTTTTTAAGATTTTATTTATTTAAGAGAGGGAGGAAGAGTAAGAGAGAGAGCAAGCACAGGAGCAGGACTGGGGGAAGAGGAAGCCTGACTCAGGGCTTGATCCCAGGACCCCAGAATCACAACCTGAGCCAAAGGCAGATGCTTCACTGACTGAGCCGCCCAGCAGCCCACGGAGCTCTCTTCTCAGGACCACAGACGAACTATTTTAACTTCCTCACAGAGCTATGAAAAAAACTGAAGCCTCTATTAATTTCTTACCATTTAGCTCAACAGACTTTCTAACCAACTACACATCTGTGATGGTTACTTTTCTGTGTCAACTTGATTGACCTACAGGTTATTTCTGGGTATGTCTATGAAAGGGTCTCTGGACGAGATTGGCATCTGAATCTACAGAGGCAGGGATCTGGATGGCCCTCCCCAAGGGGCATCATCCAATCCCTGAAGCCTTCAACAGAACAAAAGGCAGAAGGAGGAGGAATTCACATCTACCCCATGCGCCCTCTACCCCCACTAGGACCACCCTCTGCATCTTCTCTTGCCTTCCCACTGGGATTTACACCATCAGCTTCCCAGGTTCTCAGGCCTTCAGACCCGGATGGGATGACACCACCAGCTCCCCTGGGTCTCCAGCTTACAGATGGGAGATACTGGGACCCTAAGAGCCAATTTCTCATTGCAAATCATGTATATATATATTCCTTGATTCTGTTTCTCTAGAGAATCCCAGTACATCCTCCATGCTTTTAATTAAGAAGTCATTCCTAAAAGATTAAAAACCCACCTACTATTTTTCAAGTACTCTGCTAAATACTGGAAGGAAAAGTTTTAATAAGACACAGTATGTGATACCAATTCTTACAGCACTGCTGGGGGCGTAGAGAGTGCTTCTGACCTTGACTAAACTGTGAGGTCTCCTTTAATCGGCGGGTTCTCGACCTTGGCCGGCCATTGGGGTCACCTGTAGAGATTTTAAACATCCAGTTCCCGGTCCCAGCTCCAGAATCTGTGTGTTGATTGCTCTGGGATAAAGTCTGGGCATCAGAATTTTTAAACAAAAGAGGGGTTTGCTACTTATTCATCAATATGACTTAACTGTGGATAAAAGGAATTCTCTTTACTCATAATTTATAACTCATTCATTTGCAAAATTAATGTGATCCAGCTGATGGCACATGAGACATAAAGCAGACTGTTTTATGAAATAGTAAAAATGGAAATCTCAGAGGAGAAGAGAAAAACCTGTGGGAAAGGAATTACTGTAATGAAGCACAAATCTAGCCCTGAGCTTTCTGGAACAAATGTGCCAAAAACAAGAGGAGTCATCATCAAGGTCAATGAAAGGAAGCCAATGAGGGGGAAAACCCCTTCCCCAAAACCAAAACAAAACAAAAAAATGTTTTCTGTCAAACAGTTCTAAGAGCACAGGTGAAAAATATCTGGATGAACAAGACAGCTGAACCCCCAGATGCTTTGTGACTCATTCACAGCCAGGCAGCTCCCAGATCAGCTCATAGCCAATCTGAAGGTCAGCCATTCTTCCAAAGGTCCACAGGCTTCCCCAGAATGACCCTGACTGAGGACGCCTGCAAAGGGAGATTGTCACCCAGCTGTCTCACGAAAGCTTGCTACCCAGGCCCACATGAGGAATAAGGAGCCAGCACACCACGGGACTTCCTGCATCCATGTTCACAGCTAGAGCTCTGTCGAAGCCAAGACGCCGTATGACACATGACAGCCCTGCCCCCCAGGGCCCTTGAAGGGATTTCATTTTTTTCCCCCTTAAGCTCAAATTCTCCTCAGGAGACAGACCCTTCTTGGCATCAGGTGGGAAGAGCTGCGATTTGGAAACCCCGATCAGGGCACCCTGGAGAATGCCTGGTTAAGGGGGACTTACGGGGGGTTGTCACACTTCCTCTGCCGGAAGCGGGCTCCTGTCCCACACGTCCGGCTGCACATGCTCCAAGCACCCCACAGGCTCCAGTCTCCATCCACGTGCTCCGGAATGGGCGTCTTGCTCACACACTCTCCTGCGCGGCACCACTGAAACACAGCAGGGCAGGCCCCGGCCCCCAGGGCCACTCAGCACCAAGGAATCCCACCTGCTCGCTCGCCACATCACTGCAATTCCCTCCAAGTGAGAAAACACCAGGCCATTCCCAGTGGCTTTTTGTAACTTACACAAAAGTAGGCCCTTTCGGGGGTAGGCATGCTTGTTAACTCTGGAGACCGTCCTTCTTACTCGCCCTTACATGTATATACCTGTGGGCTTTGCATTTTGCCCTAACAGGCCATACGGAATGGGCTCCCTTGGAGTGTTCTCAATTCTCAGAGAAAGGATTAATTCACAGGGCTCATGAAGAGACCCAAGCTTAGGCAAACTTCACTTCACGTGAGCTCCTCGTCTCTCTGGAAGGCTGTGCTTCCTGGCTCCATGGTTTTGCACTCCAAAGTTGGGTTTGGTGCTTGGAGAGGACACTGCCAGCTCCACAGGGGTGAACCCTGGCTCCGAGAATAAGAGAAAGCCACTCCTCTACAATGGAATTGCCCAGCGTGCCTGGCACATCTGGGCCACGAGAGGTGATTTAGTGGTTTCCCATCATGGCATCTGGTTCACTCCTTGCAGTTAGGACTAAGGAGAAATCTGTGGCTGCGGGCCCTGAACATCCCTCCTCTCCAACATCAGTCTCTCCTGTTAATGAACATTAGGCCTGGGGCTTGCTCTCTCAACCTCTAGCTAGACTCAGCTAACACTGTGCTCATTGAACTCGTTTTGGGATAGCCTTTTGTGTATGACCAGCGATCCTCTTTTCCCATGTATGATTTGTTGATGTAAAAGGTTTTGTTTTTGCTTTTTAAGGAAATTCACTTGTGTGACAAAAAGAGTCAATTTAATAAAAATATTAAGCAATTCTTGTATCTTACCAGAAAAAAAGGAGAGAGGTGATAGAAGTGTCCCTCTTTGCCCAGAGTGGGCTCCATGGCCCTTTCTGGGGCAGCCCAGGGGGAGTGTAGAGCACGAATATGGTGTGGAGACTTAACCTTCAGGAGACTTGCCCAATGCCCAGGAGACGGGGGCCAGGGGAGGGCCATGGGAGGTGGGGGTTACCTTGTCTGCCCCACACTCGGTGCCGTCCAGAGGAGGGTCCAGCTTGGTCTTGCAGGACGTATCTCCTTCCACCAGGCACCACAGTCCAGCACACATCAGATGCTGCTGACAAGGGAAGGAACACAACTGCCTAGAACGCCATAAACAGGTCACTCCTGGGGTTGGAAGGTGGGGCCCAATGACTGGTTTGGATTTGGAATTTGAAATATGAAGGGAAGAAGGAGGGCCATGAATCTGGATATAAAAGTGCATCATTCAACTGGTTCATTTTAATTCCACAAAATTCTGTGCATTGACTCCTAGAAGGGCCTTGTCTCGGGGGATTCGGTTCAGCAATTTCTGCATTAGCTACTGAGGGGGTGTCCAATGCAGGGTGCAGGCTGGGCGCCATTAACACATAACTTCCGTTTAAATGTAGGAAGATGTGAGGCAGATACCCATGGGTCAGACAGAGTGCACGGGAGAAGAATCTCCCTGGCCTTGCCTCCTCAGGGAGGGCCTGCTAGAAGAGGCAGCTCTGTTGCTAAGGCTGGAGGAGCCCTTACACAGGCCTAAAAGCCAGAGCCCGAAGGCCAATAAAGGGCTCAGAGACCCCAAGGGGTTAAAGAAGGTTTTCCACTCTCCCTGTGGCCACCCATTTTCTAGTTCAGCTGACTTATGCATAATTTCTTACAGTTATTTCACCTAAGGAATTTCTTAACATGCACAAATATACAATTAAAATAATTCTCCTTCAACAAGGCCAGGCTTTTAAAAACAGACTCCCGTTTGCGTTAATAGAAAACCTGCACGTTGACCAAGTGCTCAGGATGGAACCATTTATAAAAAGAACTGGAGCACACATGGCTAGCATACTCCCTGGCTGCCTCAGTCTCCCCTGCAGGACTCAGAGCATACTCAGTGTCTGTACACACCGACTGCCGCTTCTCCAGTCTCTCTGCCAGAGGCCATCCTCTGACCTTGGAGTGACCCTTGACCACAGGAATGGGAGCTGGACAGCCCATCTCCCCTGGTGGGACGGCTCCGAGGCAAGCTCCTCACTTCTCTCAGAGGGTCCTGGTGGGATGGCCCCACTGTCCCTGCGGTCGCCTGCCCTTCAGTGCACTTTGGTCTCTCCACCCTCCTCTCCCACGTTCTTGCCCCCTCACAGTGCTTCCTGGGATCACTTCCCAGATAAACTACTTGCACCCAAATCCTCGCCTCGTGGTCTGAAAATTGAGAACAGATGTAGTGAAGGCTCTTTTAAAGACGCAGTGCTTCCAGGATGCCAAGCCCAATCATGGGGAAGAGGCCTGGGCTGGAGCAAGAAAGACTTCACCCTCTGGGGTGTGACCAGGGCACCTGTGGGTGCATTTTGGGTTGGGTGAGGGTCAAGGGTCCTTGCTCAGGACAGTCACAGTGGAGCTTGCAAAGCGTGTGCCTCGCTTCGTGCAGAGGGCTGCCTTTCCAAGTACTCTCAAACATCTGCACAGAATAGATGTATACTGTGATGTCTCAAATCAGAAAGTATTTGGAAGCTGAAGAGACAAAAGGAGAAAAAGGGAAGGAAAGCAGAGCTGGAGGGGCTTTGACAAAGAGCTCAAAAGCCCACCGCACTTCCTCATTTCTCAAGTTATGTGGAAGCTGCTCTGGGCCTTTAAAGAAGTTGATGATTCAAGTGGAATGGTGCACATTTGGGGTCAGGAAAGCCCCTGCGTTCCCATTACTGCTCACCTCTCCATGGAATGGTAAAAAGATGAGAACCCCGAGCACACTACCAGCTGGTCCCATAAAGACAGACTGCACCTCATTAAATGTTTGATTCCATGCACCTTGACCCCAGAGCTCTTCGAGAGTGTGGTGTCAGTGTGTGGACACGTGTTCATGAGACAGGCTAACTCTGAAGGTAATTTATGGGGGAGGAGTGCTTGGGATTAGGAGACGCACCTGCCCCATCGGGAGGGAGAGGAAGAAGGCAGTGTGAACTGTTAGGCACTTTATAGACAGCACGTTCCCATAAAACCTTTCTAATCATCAGAGAAAAGGAGATGAGGTCAGGCAAAGCATTCTTATGTAGAACACAGAAAGTACTAACCGTAAATGGAAAAAATTAATGACTTGTACTATATTAAAGAACTTCTGTTTATCAAAAGACAACTGTAAGAAAGTGAGAGAGGGCATCTGTAATACATGGGAGAGATATTTGTAATGCATGGAACCAACAAAGGATTTGTATCTAGAATACACGTAAAAAACAGGAAACAAAAGCCCCCGTGGACAATTAAAACGGTGCAGTAGAAAAATGGGCAAAAAACTTGGGACACTTCACAAATGAAGGCATTTAAATGTAAGGAAGGCCAATAAACATATGAGCAGGTGCTCAGTTTCATCAGCCATCAGGGAAAGGCTAATTAAAACCACCAGTCCTTACCTCTACACACCCACCAGAATGACTCAACAACAGAGACAGAGAATACAAAGTGTTGGGAAGGATGTGGTGTGATAAGAACGTTCTTAAATTAATGCCGAGCTTCTAACTTGGTCCAACAACTCTGAGAAACTCTTTGACAGTACTTACTAAAGCTGAAGACATGCACGTTCTAATATTCAACAGTGCCACTCCTAGGTATGCACTGGGCAGAAACGTGTGTCTATGTTCACCAAAAACATTTTGTCAAGAAGGTTCCTAGCAACAATCTTTGTATTTGTCCCAAAGTTAGAAACTGCCCAAGTGGCCATCAACAGAGGAATATGGTCTACGAGAACAATGGAATACGGCATGATCCCATTGATATGAACTTCAGAAACAAGCAGGAGAAAATGGTGGTGCTGGGAGTCAGAACAGTGGTTACTTTTCTGTTTAGTCTCAAAACGAAGACAAGGGGATTGAGCAGAGAAGGCAACTTTAGAGTGGCAGCCTGACCCCAGCTCGGCCGTCAGCATTGCCCTGTGTGCCCAAACTAAGCAGCCGCCCCTCTGTGACTCATTTTCAATACTGGAAAAACAGTATGGACAGCATGAATGCTTGTTACTGTGATGCCTTTTAGAGAGCTGGCATTTGTGTTGTGCTTTCCAAATGACAAAGTACTCTGACATGTGTCCGAGGCTCTTGACAGCTGTGGGAGGCAGGCAGGACAGGGATTTCTCTATTCTTTCCATTTTTCCAAAGAAGAGGTGCATATTTGTAGAGGTCAAGGGCCTGAGCTGGGTCAGAAGTACTGGACTGGGAGTTCATTGATCAAGGTTCATATCTTGGCTCTCAGCCTATGTAGTGGCTCCACAGATGTGTTCACTCTCTAAAAGCTAATCAAGCTCTAAATGAAACATGCGTTTTTATGCAAGCACAGTATACTATTTATAGTAAAACTATTTAGAGAGAGGGAAGATAAGGAGAGAAATGCATGCTTAAACTGGCAAGGGAAGATTCTCTGGACCCAACCTATCACCAGGCAGAAGTAGGAAAATCAGGGCTTCACAAGGAAATTACAAGGAGAGACCCTACATGTAGGAAGCCATTCCTCACAGCAGGAGACAGAGTGCACAGTGGGCACGCTTTAGGTCAGAACCCATACTCCTCTCATAAGAAAAATCCCTGTTAGCCTGGAAATAACTCTGACAATCTCCAAAATGAATATCCTATCAATCGCTGGTCCAAGAATAACTCAGAGGTGAGCAATAGTCAAAAACAATCAGTATAGGGTTTACACAAATTAGTACAAATAAAAAGGGAGAAGAAAGCATGTGAAGAATACTCACCAGATAATATGATCATCATATGGCTAAAAAGAATGTCCAAACCTATGTGCATTATTTTTTTTTTAAACCATAGTAATTTTTTTGTTTTTTTACTTGCAAAAAGCAAATACATTAGAATTCAGGGAAAAGATGGTCAGGTCAAAGGAGATAAATTATCGACCATCATAACTGGGCCAAGGAAGGTAAGAAAGAATAAAATCAGATGGCCAATGAGGACAACACTGAGAGCAGCAGAAGAAGAGAGATACCACTGAACACAGAGAGGTACATGGAGTTAATGACTGAGAAAAAGTGAATGTAATAAAATGAATAAACAACTGAAACAGATTTGGCAAAAATGATAGACATGGAAGACACGTCAAGGAGATGCGACATAAAGCAATTTTGTGGGAGGCAAGGAGGATGAGCTCTATTTTTTCCAATGAGGGGACAGATGTTTATGGAGGCCAAGGGCCCTGAGCTGGGGCTGAAGCACAGGCCTCCTAAAGAAGAGAACCAAGGTGATGGAATAGAAAAGGTATCTGAAGAGAAATTCAAGATCCTATCCTGAAATGAAAGAAGGTCTCAGTTTCAGACTGAAAAGCAAAGCCCCATTCAGGAAAACATGGCAAAGAATAATGAGCACGGAGGCATGTCCTGATAAAAGTTACCAGATTTCAGAGATAGAGCCCAAAATATTTTAGGCAGCCAGACAAAAAGATCAAGTCACTGACAATGGGAAAAGACAGCAGATTTCCCCACAGCAGCACTCACGGCCAGATGGCAGTGGAGCCATGCTTAAAAGGACACAAGGAAAGAAAGTGTACCCTGAGCAATTTCTAGCAACTAAAGTGTTGCTCAAATATTTAGGTAACAGCAAATTAATTTTTTAAAGATTTTATCTATGTATTTGAGAGAGAGAGAGAGAGAGAGAGAGAGCACGCACACAAGCAGGGAAGAGAGGGAGAAGCAGACTCCCCACTGAGTGGGGAGTCCGATGTGGGCCTCAATCCCAGGACCCTGAGGGATCAGGGCAATTAAGGCAGATGCTTAATTGACTGGGTGCCCCAGAAAATTATTTTCAAACCTATAACTAGCTGATTCCTTTTTTCGAGAAAATACTAGAAGATAAAGTCCAGTCAGCAGAGAAACGAATGCAAAACGTAGAAGTGACTAGAAGTGAGCACCCATCAAAGCACTGATTGAAATGTGTGGACTGAAATTAGAGAACAGAATGCAGAGTATATAAACTTGGATGAGGCAAAAATGATACAGATATAAGAACAGGCTAGAAAAGAAGGTGCAGTAGGGTGGGGGAGCATAAGAGACTGTCCATATATATCAGTTTCTTTATCACGTCTAGCAGGGGGAGGAATAAAATATAACAAATG